GATAAAATAAATAAATGTTATGTAAAAATGTTAATAGTAAGGTTTAAGTAATATTTCTAATAGTAAGGTTTAAATAATATTTTGTGCTGTAACTGTAGGGCTAATACAATACGTCCCCTATGAACAGCATATGTGAATATTATGTAGACCTATTGTTTAAATCAAATTTATGCTTTAAAAGTAGAGTAATCATAAGTTTTCATCCATAGTATGTCCATTTAAACGTCTGCGTTTAGCTTCAAATGGCGTCTTTGACGACAGTATTCTATAAAAATTATTTGCATTCCGATCTTGACATCAAAAGGCACAAAAATGGATTTTACCCATTTATCTCCACTTGTTCCCAGTGTTTTTCTGCAACCACTATGCGCGCGCAGCTGCAAGGTACGTAACTGTGACGTCTACTCTGAATTGGCCTATAGTAATATGTATTACTGCATGAATAATAAACAACTGATAAAATTATCCACTCTAACCTATAGTAAAGTATTAATACATTTTGATGCAATAAATATGGTATAATTTAACAATGTTCATCCCTTCAAAACAGAGAAAACATCTTTCACAAACATCTACAAGTATGTCTCATTTAAAGTGTTCAGTGTATATAATGAGTTGTATTTGTAGGGGTTATTATAGCACAATTCTTAACCCCACCCCACCCCAGATCTCATTCATTTTCAAACCCTGGTTACAGCCATGAATGGACTTAATATTAACCAGCTTGTCGTATTCACTAAATATGACAAGCTGGTTAAAAAGAGCCCAAGAGCAAACATGGCCAATGACTACTAGGTCGATGCAATTTTACCGTCTTCCATGACAAATTCACAGAATCGCAAAAGATTGTTGTTCTGAGACTTTGGCAACAAGGTGAGAACGTACGAGAGAGAGCAGTAGCTTTGAAGTAGCGTATACACTAGCGTAATACACTAAACGGACACTGTGCCTTTTTTTTTCTTTCAGGCCCAAGCACGGAAAATTAAACATGAAAGAGATAAAAGACAATGTGCTCCAATGCTGCTTGGTTTCCAATGTTCTTCAAAATATCTTCTTTTATTTTCCACAGAAGAAAGAACATGCTGAAGTTTTGGAACGACATGAGAGTGAGTAAATGATGACAGAATTAAAGAAATACCCTTTACAAATCCATATTTTCTGCGGCCACAGTATATTGCATGTATACACTTACAAAGGGAGACCTACTGTATTTGCATACATTAAAAAAAAAGGTGCCACTTAAGTCTATTACGCAGAAATATCCCTCTACTACTAATGGAAATGTGACAGCAGAAAGTGAGCTGGTTTTTTTTGTTGCCAATCCATATTTAATCATTTGTTATATAATTCAGTGTTACATGAATCAGATTCAAAATTATGAGCAAGATATGATCGACTACGGTAGAAAATGATGAACCAGTAATCTCATTATCAGTGCAGAAGCAGACTGTTGACATGCTGGCTGTTGCCCAACCAATTATGACTCACATGTTTGCATGACATTGTTTAAAAATATATATTTATAGATAAAGAGACATGTGGACAGTTTAGTCATCTAGTTTCTCCTGCATACTTTGTCTAATCATTTGCTGGCATACACAAAAATAAACAGAGCATCTATAAAAAAGCTAAAGCTATGTAACAGGATGCAACACTCCCGCCTACTCCAGTCCTCCGAGCTTGGAAAACCACATACACACTGTGTGTGTGAATCACAATATGAAACATTTCGGATGACATCATAAGGATGTTCTACCATGTCATCCGAATTCACACCAGACATTAATAAATGCATAAGCTCTCCAGTCCTCATTATGCTATGACACGTATGACTCAACAACACTTTTAGTTACGGAAACAAGTGTGCTTTTCTAATAATATTGGTCTGCTTATTCACTCTTTCTGTCTCCTCCTAATAAAGTGGCTTGTAAACGTTCTTCACAGCCAGCTCAAACAAACAGAGGCCTCACTGTCAGAAGTTTATTGGCTTTGCAGTGAACTTCTGAAATTTTTGCAGAAATGGCCGCTTCAAAAACAGCACAAGAGCTCTGATTCCCAACGAGGAGTACATGACCCTAGTAAGCTGCAGAATTTAGAAATATTTTACATTTTCCTTGTCAAAACTTATGAAACTATAAAAAAATTAAGATAGCATTACTTATTAGATAATATTACTTTTTTTTCAGAAAGGATGCATTAGAGCCATTAGTGGCAGTAATTCCCAAATTTTCCCAAACCAAACTGCCTTCAACATAACGAATAAAAAATAGGGAAAGGAATATTCAAGGACATTATGAGGACAGATAACAGAGATCGACAGTCTTGAAGCTACTGAATACAGGTCGTATTAAACACAAGAACACATCCTGCATGTTTGACTAGGCCGAAATGGACATGAATGGCCTCCGTTTAGACAAAAACCTTCTGAAAAATGTAAATTGGAGAGGTCATGACCTCAGTATTCTAAATGTAATGAGTGACGTCAGTCCGAGCCTTAGAGGCTCCAGCCATTAGAGCCCTTAATACGCTCGCAAAGACGACAGTGAGAGCGAACCAATCAAAACGGCTACCAAGCGATTCTTTGATCTTCAAGAACACTACACAGAAAAGAATCATGTTAACATGCACCACCTTCCCACTACAGCTCAAGACGGACTCATTTTTCACTCTCTGGTCTCTGTTACTAGATGATATCTTTGTTTAATGTAGCAGAGGTCTTCGCCCTTCGACCATAGATCTATGCCGTCTGGTTAATGTGTGTTTCCATTCTGAAGGTTTATTTTCCCTGAAATACAGCCAAACTCTCTGAGCATTAGGCCCCAAAGTTCTTCTGCTCTACAAATCTCTGAAGCATTTTCTGAACAAAGTCTTAATCAAAGGAATAGTGCACGTCAAAATGAGTTTTATTTACATTATTTTAAATCCAAATGATTTGCTTTCTTCCGGTGAACACAGAAGGAAAATTTGATAAGGTGTTCAAGATGCTCTTTTTTGTATACAATGAAAGTGACTTGTGACCAGCGTCTGTTGTGACAAACATCATTCTGTTCCTCACAGAAAGCCATCACTTAAAGGGATAGTTCACCCAAAAATGAAAATTCTGTCATTAATTACTCACCCTCGTGTCGTTCTAAACCCGTAAGACCACAAATTAAGATATTTTTGATGCATTCTGACAGCTCTCTGATCCTCCCATAGACAGCAAGGGTACTAACACGATCAAGGTCCAGAAGCGTAGCAAGGAGATCGGTAAAATAATCCATGTGACATCAGGGGTTCAACCGTAATTTTACGAAGCTACGAGAATACTTTTTGTGCGCAAAAGAAAAAAAAAAACGACTTTATTCAACAATTCGTCTCCACCCTAGCACCATTTTGGAGAATTTCCACTGAACGTAAACAGCG